ATATATATGAACATAACTTTAAAACCATTCGTTTAGTATGGCGAATTTGTTCAAAATTAATCAATCTACAAACGTTTCTAACAAAAAACGACTCTAAAGCAACTCGGTATACTTTAAAATCACAATCAAAAAGCAACAAATAATCTGAACATCAGGTATAGTAGTTTCCAAACAAAATGAACTTTTTCAAAGATTTTCTGCATAGTGTTTGTAGTGAAATCTTGCTCTGGAATACAGTATACGTAGTGCATATTTTTACTTAATCGCTTGTAACTTCTAAACCATACGTTTAATATAAACGATGTCTTGAACAAATTTATGTAAAAACAAGTCATTAACGATGTTGTCTAACATCATTACACTCTACAGCAACTTGGTGTACTTTAAAACGCTTTTTAAAGCATACAACTTTGCTTACGCCTTTATTGTAAAGAACTCGCATTGTAAAAGCGGCGGAAGCAAAGTTGTATACCTAAACAAAGTTTTATGTCTAACAAGTGTCTGGGAGAACTATGTAACTTTTATCTAGTAAACAGACTACTGGGTTATCAAGACATTTCATTACCATAAAGTGTTCAACATTGACTAGTGTCCTATTATCAATTTATCATCAATTTTCAACAATTTTTCATCGATTTCTGCATTTTTGCAGATGCTGGCTCGGTTGCTGCCTAATTCCTTGCTGCATCGACGAATGCATGGACGTGCATCACAAATGCCCAAATTGCAAGACTTATTTGGGAAGATACAGAAGGTAAATGGAAACAAATCTTTCTTTTGGGGGACAAGATTCTAAAGAACTAAAGAACTAAAGCATCCATCCTATAAGTATACTAACTAACCAATCGAGCAACCCTTCACTGTATTTGGAGATTTTTTGGCACCTATTGGCACGATAATAAATAATTAATAATAATAAAAATAATGATAATAGAAATTATATAAATAATAGAAATTATGATTTTGGGTATTTCGGTAAAAGGATTTTTTTAAAAAATTGTTATTTTGGTGATATTTCTTTTTACTGTGAATTTATTTAAATATATTTAAGCTTTTCAAGGGGCACAACTAGTGTGAAATTTTCAAAAAATCGAATTTTCAATTTTTTCATATTTCGTTAGGTTATACCTTTAAAAATAACATACCAAAATTTTAAATCGATATCTTAAATAGTTTTTGAGTCAGAGCCATTTAAAGAGTATTTATATAGCATATAGTATAACGATCATTTTATCTTTGAAAGCGTTTTTCTCGAAACAGCATTTTCCGAATTTGCTGCAGCGATTACTCAAAAACAAATGATCAATTTTTTTTTACATGTTCTATATATAGTGCTCCGTAAAATGGACCATCGATTTTTTTATCAGACCAAAAATCGAATTTTGGCAGTCCAAAAACGACCAAAATTTTGGGTAAAATTCGACTTTTTTTAAAAAAACGCCGCCATTTTGTCAGTTTTTGATTTTTTTCTTCATCGTAGGTCATTTTACAAACAATATTATTTAGTTTAACGAGAATTTTTTGTTTTTTAAATTTTATCCACGTAGAAGGCCGGAACCACTACAGCAGTGAAGGGCCGTTGGAGATCGACGATAACTTACAAAATATTTAATTTTTTTCTTCAAAAATTTTACTATGTATTCTTGAAACATGTATAAATATATTCCTAAAATTTTGAAATGATTGATAAAGTAATTTTTTTAATATAAATTCCCAAAAATCACATTTTTTTTAGGCGGTTGCACTAGTTGTGCCCCTTAAATGAATTATGGTATAATTTTTCTTGGATTTATAAAATCACAACAAATCAGAATCGATAAGGCAATTTACATATATCAGCAAATACAAATAGATTTTTTAAGAGGTGTGGATTTACTACTTTTTTTTCAACTTATATATATAATTCATTTTGATCATTTCATTAACTAAAACTGATTTAACTTTTTTTTTTTATTTCATGTAACATTTTGCACGTAAATAATTTTGTACATCATCATCTGGTTTGTTGTGACTAACTGAATATATATATATATATATATATATATATATATATATATACATGTATATATATATATATATATTATAATTTTCATTTATATAAATACAGGCGCTGATAAGAATGATGTCAAACGGAATGATTTAAAATCGATTGAATAAAATGCCTGAAATGAAAAATATATGTACAGCAAAAGATCTTATAAATAATTTGGATTTATAAATATATTTTTAGATATAAATATGTATGGTAAAATAAACTTATATCGCTTAGTTTTTTGCAAATAATATTTTTGTATACTAATTTAATTATTGATAAATTTATTATGTGTTAAAGCAGGAGCAAATGTCCTTTTTATTACATATAACTTGCAATATTTAAATGGCTTTTGTATTTAATAATGATATAAATCGGTAATTGTATATTAATATTGTAGATATATAAAATAATATATATATATATATATATATATATATATACTTAATTAAAAATCAACTATTATTATCACGAAATACTTAACAACAGTTTTTTTATTCATTATAAATTAAATATTATATTTATAAATACTTTATTAGAACATAATATATATTACAACATGTATTAATAATTTTATTTTATGTTTTTACAAACGTTTTGTGAAAAAACCTTGTTGTAATCTAAAGTTTTAATAAGCGAGGATACACTTATATATTATATATGTAATAACTTTAAAACCATTCGTTTAATATAAATGATGTATTCGGCGAATTTGTTTAAAATTAATCGATCTAAAAACGTTTCTAACAACAAATGACTCTAAAGCAACTCGGTATACTTTAAAATTGCAATTGAAACCTAACAAATAATCTGTGCATATAGTATACTAGTTTCCAAACAAACTGAAGGTTTACAAAGAATTTTTACATAGTGTTTTGTAGGGAAATCTTGCTTTGGAATTAGGTATACCAAGAGCATATTTTTACTTTATCGCTTGTAACTTCTAAACCATTCGTTTAATGTAAACGATATATTTGGGAAATTTATTTCAAATTAAATAGTTAACAAGTTTGTCTAACATCATTAAGCCCTAAAGCAACTTGGTATACTTTAAAACGCATTTGAAAATTTACAACTTTGCTTACGCCATTATTCTAAAGAACTCGCTTAATAAAAACGGCGGAAGCAAAGTTGTACACTATATACTCAAAGTGTTGCACTGATGTAATAGAAATGCCCATAACTTCTAAACCATTTATTTAATATAAACAATGTATTTGGTAAATTTGTTTAAAATTAAATAATCAACAAATTTATCTAACATCATTATGCTCTACACTAACTCGGTATACTTTAAAAAGCATTTGAAAGCATACAACTTTGCTTACGCCTTTATTGTAAAGAACTTGTATTGCAAAAAGGGCAGAAGCAAAGTTGTACACCTAAACAAATTTCTATGTTTTAAATCTTTGTACTAAAACGTTGGCAAAAATATTAAATAAAATTTGATGTTATTTTTATATTTATCTACGTGTACCTCTGCCATATACAAAAAATTACATTTGGACCAATAATTCTATAAAAAATTTAATCAATGCCATTCAATTTACAGTTTAATGAACTTTTATTCTAAAAATTTAATTGTTATTTAACGCACAATATGCAATAATTATTTACATTTAAATGTTACACCATAAGCTTGAAATTTAAAATATAAAAGTTATATTATATATATAAAATACGTTTTGTCAACTGCACAAATTGGATAAATACTTATTATATTTTTAAAATTGTATTGTTTTATTTTATAATGCAATAAGCATTATTTTATGTATATTTGTATGTAACCAAGCGAAAGGTTTGAAAATACGTGTATTTTATTTTAATATATTAATAAAGGATTTTATTTTGATATACTAGAAGGGATTATTAATTATATATATTATATTATAAATATTATATATATATATATATATATATATATATATTATACTATATATATAAGTATACTATATTATATATATAAATATATTATATTATAAATTTATTTTATAAATTTATAAATAAAATACAGAAAATTTTACAAAAATTAATATTCAAATTTGAAAATAACGGTTTTCAAGTATTTCTTGTGTTGCTCGCAGATGTCGCATTAGTCAGCTGTCAAAATAAAACCATGCCTTCATTTTAAATTCAAAACAAATAATTAAAAATTAAATAAAAATACTTAGAATGATAAAACCAACGTTATTTAATCAAAAATAGTGTAGATATACTTTGTGTTAATTAACGTAAGTATTTGTTTACTCCATAAACGCATTAAATATATTGAAAATGTATATTTTACTTTACATAACCTAAAAATTGCAGATATTTAATTTTATCTTTATCACATGCAAATAAAACTTGCATTTATATATAAACAAATCTGTAAATAAATTCTGAACCCTACTAAATACATTTCCAGGTTGTCCAAGAAAATATATAGTGTCTATAAAATAATTCACACATTTATAGGTTAAAATTTTAATAATAATTTTTACTAATTTATATCTTTTACCAAAATGGGTAAAGTAAGACGTCTCCGTAACAAAGCTGCCAAAGCAGCCTCAAACGATAACCCACATTCTACAAATTTACCAGAAAATGCTTCCACAATGTCTTACGCTCAACTCAAAAAGTCTTTATCGGACATCGACACTAAAAGTGTTAAATCATTTAAGTCTCTTAAATCAGAAATGGGTATTGATAAACAGTTATCGAAAAAAGACAAACAGAAGTTGAGGCATGATTTGTTTTTGCATAAAATTGATACTACTATTAAATCCAGGAGCGATTCTAGGAAGAAGAATAGGAAATTGAAAAAAGCTATATCAGGTGATAATTGAAATATATATATATATATATATATATATGTATATATATATTTATGTATATATTTACTTATCTGTTTGTATATTTTTAGGTAATTTAGTTGAGCTGCACGATGCTCTTCCAAGTTTAAAGTCTTTATTGAAGCCAAAAGATGCACCAGTTACTAAAAATTTAAATGCACCCAAACAAAAAGCAATACAGAAAACATATACAAGGCAAAAACAAAATAAAGCTGATAAAAATTTATTCAAACGACTGATGGATCATCCTGAATTCAAAAAGAATCCTCAAGAGGTTATTGCAGCACATATACAAGCTACGTTGATGCAAAATAATTAAATATATTTATATATATAAATATATATATATATATATATATATATATATATGATACTTGTACATAGCAATTTAACTGAAATAAAGCAAAAATTTTGTTAATCAAATTTATTTCATAATAAAGTTTTTGCTTTACATTAAAAACTAATCAATGTGATTTGTACAATACATTTTAAGTTTCAAAATTAGTTTAAGATTTTAGGAGAAAACTTTGATGCAGAGAATAAACATAAAACTAGTGGGGCGCATGGCATCGTGCCTTAAGGCAAATTGCTGGAACTTCCCGTACCAAAAATTATTTTTTTTTTGAAAAGATTAACATTTTTGAAAAAAATTTACTCTGAAAAAATAGATTTTTGACAAAAACGTACTTTTTGTTGAAAAATTTATTTTTAAATTTTTTGGAAATTCTGAACTTTTTTTCAAAGCAATCGTACTGCTTTAAATGCTTAGAGACTAAATATCTAAGCGCCGCGTCGTCGTCTAACGGCTAAATACTGGTACGGAACCCTTAGGAATGTAAACAAAATTTATACTTATTATTAAAATCTCTATAAAATATCTGATAATTTGATGTGCATATGTCTAATGATCATTTTTGACCGCCAAATGGCTCATTTTTTTTACTTTTTCCTCCATATCTCCGAAACCGTTAGACCTACCATCATGAAAATTTTATCGATTCTTCATCTTGTCAATACAAGCAAAATGTTTTTTGAATTATTCAAATCGGATGCTCCGTTCTCTTAAAAACTGAGTTACCGTTTTTGGCACTTTTTGCCCCGTATCTTCGGAACGGCTAGACCTGCGCTTGACAAAAACTAATCGGCACGTCTCCTTATCAATACGAATCGAATGCTTTTTGAATTATTCAAATTGCTTCATCCGTGTTCCCGAAATCGTCGACGAAAATTTGTATCCGAACACACACACATGTACGCACACACACACATACATCAATTTTCTCTAAGGTATGCCAACATATTCAGAAACCTTTGAAACGTAATAAAGATATATAAAAATTTTCATTTTCGATTTTTTTGCGATTACTATGACTTACCCTACGGAAAGTTAATTATAAATAAATCAATTTATCATCTCCAGAACATTAACAATCGTCATTTCATTTCAAATTCAATTTCAAAAAAAAAAATAGTTGCCAAATTTACACAAAACTGAACGCATTTGCTAATAATTCTGTGCGACATTTTCACTTATACTGTGCTTAGCTTGGCGGCATTTTCACATTTTTCAATAATTTTCACAAAATTGGAAAATTGCACCAACATAAACAGTCTAAACGCACTTGCGAAAACATTTGTACCAGAATGGCGCTTAGACTGCGCTTAGCCTGGGTAATTTTTCGAATTTTTTGAATTTAGTATTTTTCATCATCAACTGTATTTTACCAGACATGAAAATAAAAAGGACTCTACTGACAAACTATATTTTGCATTATATAAACTGACAAGCAAACTGAACTACTCGTCTGCTCGTCAGTAAAGTCCCCTTTTATATATTTTAACTTTTGCTCGTCAGTAGAATCCATTTTTTAATTCTAGATTAAGTTTGCTTGTCAGCAGAGTCCCTTTTTAATTCTAGATTAGTTTGCTCGTCAGTAGAGTCCCATTTTTAATATTAGATTAGTTTGCTCGTCAGTAGAGTCCCTTTTTTAATTCTAGATTAGTTTGCTCGTCAGTAGAGTCCATTTTTTAATACTAAAAATACGGACATACAAATCACACACATCGATTTAGTTTTTGAGGTATGCCTTAAAATGTTCAGAAACCTTTAAAACGTGAAGGAATGCAAAAGTTTTCAATTTTGTTTTTTTTTTCAATTACTGTAACTTATCTTACGGGAAGTTAATAATGATAAAAAAGGACTCTACTGGGCAGTAAATTAAAGAACAAAGTAAACTTTAATAAAAAGGAACTCTACTGACAAGCAAATTAAAATTAGATTTAGAGAAAGGGACTCTACTGACAAGCAAATTAAAATTAGATTTAGAAAAAGGGGTTCTAAAAAGGGTATGTCAGTAAAATGTTCAGAAACCTTCAAAACGTCGAAAAATGCAAAAATTTTCATTTTCGATTTTCGGCCCATCACTATAACAACCCTATGGGAAGTTAATAAAATACCAATCTCAACACCAAACAAAACTTTTAATAAATTTTCATACAATTTTCATCTTTCCACCGTTATTTCGTATCCTTCCTCATATACTGCTCAATCATCTTAACTTTATACTTCTCACTAAGTCTTTTGCAAGTTTCAATTTGATTTTTTACATAATACAAGCCCCCTTCCTTCTTAGCCTTGGCCATAGCTGCCCTTTCGGCATCACCTGCTATCAAAACCGGTTTACAATTATCAACCGGTTTCAGACTTCTCAACATACACAAAAAACTCGAAACTCTTTCTTTGAAATCTGGGGCAAAAAAATCCGGACTTATTGCCATGAAGGTCATACCCAAATCGGAGGGCTTGTCGGTGGAGGACAGTTTGCGGATTCTTGAACCAAATCTAGAAAAAAAAAACAGTAATTATTAGGGTTTATACAAAAACCGACATTTCAGAAAACCGGTTTTCGAATTTTAATTTTACTAAAAAACCGGTTTTCGAATTTTATATAAAAAATAAATTTTTGCTCGAATATTCTGTAATTTATCCACAAATCTAGTGTGATTTAGAGCAGAATTTGACTGAATTTATTTATTGTTCAATTTTATGGATAGTAAACAAAATTATTTTAATTTTAATTAGTAGAACTAAAAAATAATAGTTTATCTTGATTAAATAACTTTGAAAATAATTATTCGTTATTCATGCATCATTTTCACATATAAGAATAAAAGTGTGTTTATGATAGTGAAAGGAAAGTTTTCGAATAAATTAAAATATTACATTTTTAAATAAAAAACAGTCATTAAATTAAAAAAAATAAAAAATATTAGATACATGTTGTTACATACTTGTTAATGTCAATTTTAGTTTTAAAAACAATTAAGCTTAACTCGGGTATTGTCTGTTCCGAACAAGTTTAATTAATTAATTTTGAAAAAATAATTTTTTTGTTTAATAAAATATGATTACAAGACATCTATCGAATTGCTACTTAGACGTGTCCTTTGTTTACTCACAATAATTCCTGAAATAGAAAATACTCTCATATTTGCGACCAAATTATGCTTAATTGTTTTTAAAGCCTGATATAATAATTCTAAGTTTTTTGTTCTTTAATTTGTGACTTCTAGGGTTTAAAACACTTTTTTCAAGTTTGAGTAGAGGAAGTTAATTCTTCAAAAAGAAGTCACACTTATTTAAATTAATATATACATTGTTATAAAAATCGTAATTAATATATACAATTTCTGGGAACCATTGCAGACTGATAAGATACCAAATGCTATTAAACCGATACAATTTCAAGAATCAAAACGCTTCCATCTATCTTTTACATTTGGCTATATTTGTCATTTTCCATTTATACAGTAAAAACCGACTTTTTTCACTAAAAAACCGGTTTTCGAATTCCATTATTTTCGCCAAAAAGCGGTTTTTGAAAACCGACAAACCCTAGTAATTACCCTCTATGTTCCAAAAAAAAACTAAAAGTTATTTAAAGAAAAGTAAAAAAAATAACATTTATGCAAACTATTTTTCATTTATGTACAGTTTGTGCGCATCGGAAAATATTTTACAATGAAAAAATGGGAGGGGCTTGATAAAAAAATGTATTTTTTAAATAAAATTCATGATTTATCATAAAGTCAGGAAATGTAATTTAATATTCAGTAAAAAAAAACAATCACTGACTATTATAAAATAAAGATTTGTGGAAGGAGGGTAAAAATTTAGAGTTGTGTGCTTTTTTTTAATTCCGCATTATGAAAATTAAAATTTAAAAAAATTGATTCCAGATTTTTTTAAAAACTTTTTTAAGCGTGGACCACCCTTGATAATAAAATAGTACTTAGAAGTAAAAATAATTGTTTGTATTTTTCAAAACCGCATTAAAAAAATTACCTCAAAATTGAAAAAATGTGTTAGGGTTGGACAACCCTTAATAATAATAAATAGTTTTTTAAAGCAACATTTAACCATTATCTTATTTTAGCTAAAATTATGTCATATAAAGATCAAATCAAAACTAAATGATTCTAAAATTTAAAAAAAATAGGGGTGAACAACCCTTGATAAAAATAAATAGTTTTACAAAGTAAAGAGTGTTCTATGTATTTTTCGATTTTAAATTATTAAAAATTAAAATAAAGAAAATTGGTCAACAAATTTAAAAAAAATGTTAGGGGTGAGCAACTCTTGATAAAAATAAATAGTATTTGTGAGTAAAGACAGTTGTATGTATTTTGTTAATTCCACATTAAAAAAATTAAAATAAAAAAAGTTGACCCCAAAATTGGAAAAAAGTATTAGGATTGGTCTACCCTTAATAATAATAAATTGTATTTTAAAGCAACATTTAACCATTATCTTATTGTTAGCTAAAATTATGTCATATAAAGGTCAAATTAAAACTAAATGAAAATTGATTCTAATATTTAAAAAAAATAGGGGTGAACAACCCTTGATAAAAATAAATAGTTTTTCGATGTGAAAAAAGTCCTATGTACTTTTCAATTTCAAATTATAGACAATTAAAATAAAGAAAATTGGTCAAAAATTTTTAAAAAAATGTTAGGTGTAAACTACCCTTGATGAGTAAAGACAGTTGTATGTATTTTGTTAATTCCACATTAAAAAAAAGAGTGCGCGTAAGGATCACACGCGATTGAAGTAAAACTTATTTGCAATTATATTGTAGCAAATTTAAGTTGAGTGAAAATAAATACATCATATAAAAATTTTGAATAATGATGCACGCATTTATTAATGTCGTCAATCATTATACACATTTATATAATGATAAATTATGAATTATATATTTATGATTACAATAAAAATATGTATAATATTTACAAACAATAATATGTAATCAAAGTCATACTTGAAATATGACTTGATCGGTTTAAAGTAATTGCTGATTAATAAATTCTATAATACAGTGGATTATGTTAAACAACGCCTAAACAAATATTGTTTTTGCAAATTAACTCATCCTGTAAAAATTGTGTTTGAAGAACTTCGTGTAATTAAAATTAACATACATTCATTTACTGTTTGTATTTTTTTACTTTCTCGCTGACGATATAATCTCATTCCTTGAACAGCTGTAATATCTGTCTTGCCTAAAAAATTGAAGCCATACTTTTATATTTGTTTTTTTTTTTATCAAGCCCTGCACATAGCTTGATCTATGAATCATTTTCTTTTTTATGTGAACGTTAATGCAATGATAATCATCAATATTACGAGGTAATAAATTAACCATATTATCAACGTCAACAGGAACATTTATAATTTGGTCAAACATTCCAAATGATTTGAGGAGTTTGAATTTTTTGAAGAAGTTTTACTTCAAAAATGATAGAATTGCAGAAATAGCTATGAAAAAATAGGGGTCGGTGATAAAAAAGTAAAAGTTCTTCTTACTGTGATCCTGATAGCATAGATCCTAAAGCCTCGACCATGCACGCTAAACCGTATCCTTTATAACCAGATGTTTCTTCAGCGCCTCCCAAAGGCATCAGAATGCCATTTTTGTAGCCAACAGCTGGGTCTGCAGTAGGTTGGCCATCTGGCCCTAAGGCCCAGCCTAAGTATCGGGTATCGGCCATTTGTTGAGGGCCTGCAGGGCCATATCGATATTGATATAAGACGGTATATATATATTCTTATATATAAAATTCTCGTGTCACAAAGTTTGTTCCCGTACTCGTCCGAAACGGCTTTACCGATTTTATTGAATTTTATATATGTATTCAGTAGGCCTAAGAATCGGTAACTGTCTATTTGTCATACCCCTAAGTGATAAGGCTTTTTTACTCTTAAATTTATTTTTGTAATTTTTGGACGTATTTTTTTGTTTTTATTCTTCTATAATGTGGCATTAAAAAATACATACAACCCTAAATTTTTAATTTTTTATCACCAACCCCTATTTTTTATGGCTATTTCAGCAATTCTATCAATTTTTATCTATTTATTTTTATTCAATTTTTATTAAATATTTTTGACATAGTTGTAGTTCAGATTTTTGAGCTTGATGAAAAAACTCATTTTTTTTCTTTAAATACAATTTATTATTATTAAGGGTTGTCCAACCCTAACACATTTATGCAAATATGAGTTCAATTTGTTGTTTATTGTAATTTTTTTAATTACAAATTGCGGAATTGAAAAATACATACAATTCTTTTTACTCCTAAATACTCTTTTTTGTCAAGGGTTGTTCACTCCTAACATGTTTTTTTGTTAATTTTTTGACTAATTTTATTTATTTAATTTTTTATAAATTGAAATTGAAATATGCATAAAACTCTCTTTACTTAGAAAAACTATATTTTTTATCAAGGGTTGTCCACCCTTATTTTTTTAATTTTGTGAATCAATTTTCTTTTAACTTTAATTTGACCTTTATTTGACATAGTTCTAGTTAAGATTTTCTTTGAGTATATAAAAATGGTTAAATATTGCTTTAAAAAATAATTTATTTTTATTAAGCGTTGTTTACCCCTAACATTTTTTTTAAATTTTGGGACCAAATTCCTTTATTCTAACTTTTTATAATTTAAAATCGAAAAATACATAGAACACTCTTTACTTAGAAAAACTATTTTTCATCAAGGGTTGTCTACCCTTATTTTTATAAATTTTGGAATCAATTTTCATTTAGTTTTGATTTGACCTTTATTCCACATAATTTTAGCTAAGATAATGTTACTTTAAAAAATTATTTATTCTTATTAAGGGTTAGTTAACACTAACCACTTTTTCAATTTTGAGGTAATTTTTTTATTGTAATTTTTTTAATGCTGAATTGAAAAATACATACAACTGTCTTTACTCCAAAATACTATTTATTTTTATTAAGGGTAGTTTACACACCTAACGTTTTCCTTTTAATTTTGACACCAAATTTCTTTATTCTAACTTTTTATAATTTAAAATCGAAAAATACATAAAACTTTTTATTTTTATCAAGGGTTGATCATACCTATTTTTTAAATTTTGGAATCAATTTTCTTCTACTTTTAATTTGACCTTTATTTGACACAATTTTAGCTAAGATAATGGTTAAATGTTACTTTAAAAAACTATTTATTCTTATTAAGGGTTGTCCACAACCCAAACACATTTTTTTAATTATGAGGTCAATTTTTTATTGTAATTCTTTTTACTTCAAAATACTATTTTTATGTCATGGGTCACCCTTAACTTTTTTTTAAATTCTGGAATCATTTTTTTAAATTTTAATTTTCAGAATGCGGAATTAAAAAAAAGTCCACAACTCTAAATTTTCACCCTCCTTCCACAAATCTTTATTTTATAATAGCTAGTCCGTGATTGTTTTTTTACTGAATTTTAAATTATATTTCCTGGTCTTATGATAAATTATAAATTTTATCTAAAAAATACTATTTTTTTTATCAAGGGTTTTATTAAATATTTCCCGATGCGCCAAACAGTACAGAATTGGTAAATGGTTTGCATAAAGAGCAATTTAAAAAAAAATAGAGAAATTGAATATTAAAATCTAAAGATATAACAGTTTTTGGTAGGAAAGTATCGGTACCATACAAATCTATAGCAAAACTGTTAAATTGTCCTCTCTCTTAATTTTTTTTCGAAAATTAATGAATTAATGAAAAGCGCGATAATAATATATAAAAATCTTGAATCTTTAAATGAGCCAATTCAATTTAAATAGAATCAGTTTCAAATTAGATTTTGGCTCTTGCAAAGACTATTATTAAGGGATATTTAAATGTCGAGTGCTTTGCAGTGTGTAAACTATTCATATATTTTTTGTTAGCTGCTCCTTTCACTTATCCACTATATTTGCAATCAGTTAGTTATTTTCGTACTAAACATTTTATGGCAAAATAACGTTTTCCGGGTGAGCTAGTATATATATATATATATATATATATATATATATATATAAATATATTCGTACCTAATAAATAATAATCTTCTTTAATACTCGATGGCATTCCAATAGAAAGTGGATTTGTTCCCAAACACGCTTGTTTGCTCCTTGTCGGTGCCACCAAAGGGGAAGTATTTGTAGAACTGTATCCAATCAGGCCCTTTTCTACTGCCTGGAGGGTGTAATAACCTAAACACATATATTTTTAACAATTAAAACCAAAAAACATCCTGGCCAACTAAACAGCACAATCGGTTTGTCATTGTAATTAGCATTTAGAAATGAGAAATGAAGTAATTGCTGATTAATAAATTCTATAACATTCGTTCACACAGTGGATTATATTAAACAACGTCTAAACAAATATTGTTTTCGCAACTTCACTCATCATGTAATAATTGTGTTTGAAGAACTTTATGTAACTAAAATTAACATACATTCAATGACTGTTTGTATTTTTTTTTATTTTTTCGCTGGCGATATAATCTCATTATTTAAACAGCTGTAATATCTGTCTTGCCTAAAAAATATTTTTCATTTTGATAACTTCAAAGATTTATAGAAACTGCGAATAATATAGAAATAATTTCTAATCAATAAACTTACGTAGTTGGCTTGTCAGTAGAGTCCCTTTTTTAATTCTAGATTAGTTTGCTCGTCAGCAGAGTCCTTTTATTAATTTTCTAGTTTTTGCTCGTCAGTAGAGTCTTTTTATTAATTTTCTATCATTCGCTCGTCAGTAAAGTCCCTTTTTATATATTTTAGCTTTAACACGTCATTAGAGTCCTTTTTGTTAATTTTCTAGCTTTTGCTCGTCAGTAGAGTCTTTTTAATAATTTCCTAGCTTTTGCTCTAATAAGAAAAGGCGAGGAAATGTACTTTGCAATATATGAAAATAAAAAAGGACTCTACTGACGAGCAGATTTAAAAACAACTTAGGTGATAAAAAAGGGACTCTACTGACGATCTAATTAATTTTGAAACTCATAAAAAAGAACTGTACTGGCGGGCAAATTGAAAAACAATTCAGAAGATAAGAAGGAACTCTACTAACGAACAAATTGATTCTCAAAATCATGAAAAGGAACTATACTGACGAGCAACTTAAAAACAACTTGAAGATAAAAATAACTCTACTGATAGGCAATTTAAATGGCATTTTGAGAAAGAACTCTACTGACGAGCAAATTAAAAAGCAACCTAGAAAATTAAAAGGGACTTCAAAGATTTATAGAAAGTACTTACGAATAATATAGAAATAATTTCTAATCAATAAACTTACGTTTAGTACACGGCAATAAAAAATTTGTTTTATTATATTCAAGGAACGAGATAAAATATTATTTTGATTCAGGCGTTTTAAATTAAATCAAGATTTGTACTGCGATGTAACTTTAAAATGTTTATTTATCTATGCCGATTTTCTCGTTGATACAACGACAGATCTCTATTCCCATACACGACGACTAATCACAATCGACCCGTATAGAAATGATATCATCGAGAGCGAATGACGAATCATTGGCACACGACCTAGCCGTAACTCATTTCCGTTGCATTTACACCCTAGTTGCGCCTAAAAAAGTTTTACTTCAAAAAAACGTCTTTTGGCGAGCTCAAAAAACCCAAAAGGGATTCTACTGACGAGCAAATTAGAAAAATCAGTAAAACAAACTCTGATGACGAGCAAAATCAATTTTCTGGAGAGGACATGAGGGACTCTACTGATGACTAAACTAAAATCAAAGCAGAAAGGAACTCGACTTCAATTTTGGGGATTTCAAATGGAATGAAAAAGGGACTCTACTAACGAGCAAAATAGACTTAAAAGAACTCTACTGACGATCAAAATTGAAGAAAAAGAAAACTACTGAAAACAAACTCTGATGAGAAGCATAATCAATTTTTTGGAGAGGACAAAAGGGACTCTACTGATAAACAAACTACAAAGAAAGGAACTCTTGAAACTTCAATCTTGTGGGGACTTTACTGAAGTTCAAATTGAAATGGAATGAAAAAGGGACTCTACTGACGAGCAAAATAGAACCAGAAGGGACTCGACTGACGCTCAAACTAATATATAAGAAGAAAAAGAAATCTACTGACGAGCAAAATTAAAAAAAAGGAAGAAGAAAACTACTGACGATCCAAAATATCATAAAAATTAAAAGGAACTCTACTGACGAGCAAATTTAAGACTAATCACAATCGGCAAAATAAATTTGACTTCATAAAATTACTTATCCCTTACCAGCCATTCCGTAATGACACCCTCCCTTGGCCACAACGTATCCGATTCCGACCTTCTCGGCCTTTTTAATGGCCAATTGCATACAAAAGTTTCCGGTGACAGCCCCAAGGGCATTGCAGCCGCCTACCCAGGCCGCTGCGGGAGTCTCTTTTAAAATTTGGGGCTCCGCTCGGCCGTCGCAGACTCCTGCTTCCAGTTCGTTGAGGTACATCTCGAGACGATTCATACCTAGAGAAAATAGAAACTAGCTGTAAGTGGAATTCTGACTTAAGGCAATTAGGGCATCGTGCCTTAAGGCAAATTGCTGGAACTTCCCGTAACAAAAATTATTATTTTTTTTGAAAACAATTAACATTTTTGAAAAAAATTTACTTCGAAAAAATAAGATTTTTGAGAAACTATAAATGGACAAAAATTACTTTTTTTTTGAAAAAAAACAAATTAAAAAAAAAATATTTTTTTAATTTTTTTTTTTTTTTTTGAAAAAAAATATTTGTTTTATTTTAACATATTTGGAAGATCTGAACTTTTTTTCAAAGCAATCGTACTGCTTTAACTGCATAAAGACGAAATATCAAAGCGCATAAGCGCTGCGTCGACGTCTAACGCGTAAACATTGGTACGGAACCCAAAGGAATGTAAACCAAAATTATACTTATTGTTAAAATCTCTATAAAATATCTGATAATTTGATGTGCATATGTCTAATGTCTAATGATCATTTTTGACCGCCAAATGGCATTTTTTTTTACTTTTTTCGTTAGATCTCCGAAACCGATTGACCTGCCCCCATGAAAATATGATCAATTCTTCATCTTGTCAATACAAGTCAAATGTTTTTTGAATTATTAAAATCGGACGCTCCGTTCTCCTAAAAACTGAGGTACCATTTTCGGCACCTTTTGCCCCGTATCTCTGGAACGGCTGGACCTGCCTTCGCCATAAACTAATCAGCACGTCTCCTTATCAATACGAATCGAATGCTTTTTGAATTATTCAAATCGGTTGATCCCTGTTCCCGAAATCGTCGACGAAAATTTGTATCCGCACATACATACACACAAGTACATACATACACACACACACACACACACATACATCCATTTTTTTCTAAGGTATGCCAAAATATTCAGAAACCTTTGAAACGTCGAGAAATGCAAAAATTTTCATTTTCGATTTTTTTGCGATTACTATAACTTACCCTACGGGAAGTTAAAAAGAGTGCGCGTAAGGATCACACGCGATTGAAGTAAAACTTATTTGCTACTGTACAAAGTAACAAATTTAAGTTAAGTAAAAATAAATACATCGTGTGACTAACTAGAAGGTAGAAAAAAGGACTCTACTGACAAGCAAATTTAAGATTAACTTTTATAATGGAGAAAGGACTCTACTGACGAGCAAATTAAAGGTCAACTTTCATAATGAAGAAAGGACTCTACTGACGAGCAAATTAACATGGATCTAGAAAATATAAAAAGGACTCTACTGATGAGCAAATCAACATTTTTTTAGTATAAAAGGACTCTACTGACGAGCAGATTTAAAAACAACTTAGGTGATAAAAAATGGACTCTACTGACGATCTAATTAATTTTTAAACTCATAAAAAAGAACTCTACTGACGGGCAAATTAAAAAACAATTCAGAAGATAAGAAGGAACTCTACTAACGAACAAATTGGTTTTCAAAATAATGTAAAGGAACTGTACTGACGAGCAACTTAAAAACAACTTGAAAATAAAAAGAACTCTACTGATAGGCAATTTAAATGGCATTTTGAGAAAGTAAAAATCGAGCAAAGTAAAAATAGTAGGAGAAAGGGACTCTACGGACAAGCAAATTAAAATATCTAGGCGAGGAGAAATAGGACTCTAATTATGAGCCACTTAAATTTTGAAGCAAAAAAGGACAGCACTGACGTTCAAATTAATTGTAAAATTATAAAAGAAATTCTATTCACGAGCAAAATAAAATTAAAATTAAAAAGGGAATCTACTGACGAGCAAACTAAAAATTAAAGAACAATGGAACTCTACTGACGAGCAAACAAACAATGAAAGCAAAAACGAATCTACTGAAGAATAAAACAAAAAAGGGACTCTACTGACGAGCAAACTAAAAATGGAACAAAGAGACTCTACTGACGAGCAAATAACAATTCTAATAGAAAAACGCTACTGAAGAGCCATTTAAAAATATTTAAAAATAGGAAATTTACTCATGAGCAAATAAAAAAAGAACTCTACTGACGAGCAAATTAAAGGTCAACTTAGATGATAAACAAAGAACTCTACTGACAAACAAATTGAAGGTCAACTTTCATGATAAAGAAAGAACTCTACTGACGAGCAAATTAACCAATTTTTGGTATAAAAGAAATCTACTACCGAGCAAATTCCTAGATGATAAATAAAGGACTCCACTGACGAGCACACTTAACATGGATCTAGGAAATATAAAAAGGACTCTACTGACTAGCAAATCAACAATTTTTTAGTATAAAAGTAGTATAAAATTGTATAACAATTTGAATGACGAAGAAAGAACTCTACTGACGAACAAATTAAATTGAATTTAGAAAATAGAAAAAAAAGAACTCTACTGACGAGCAAATTAATTATTGATTTTGATGATGAAGAAGGGACTCTACTGACGAGCGAATCATATATGAATCTAGAAAATAGAAAAAGGACTCTACTGATGAGCAAATTTAAATGTCGATTCAGAAAATTAAAAAAGGACTCTACTGACGAGAAAATAAATGTCGATTTAGAAAATAAAAAGAACTCTACTGACAAGCAAATTAAATATCAATCCAAAAAATAGAAAAAGAACTCTACTGACAAGCAAATTAATATCAATCTAGAAAATAGAAAAAAGGACTCTACTGACGAGCAAATTAATTATTGACTTAGAAAATAGAAAAAGGACTCTACTGATGAGCAAATTTAAATGTCGATTCAGAAAATAGAAAAAGGACTCTACTGATGAGCAAATTTAAATGTCGATTCAGAAAATAAAAAAGGACTCTACTGACAAGCAAATTAAATATCAATCTAGAAAATAGAAAAAGGACTCTACTGACGAGCAAATTAATTGACAACTTAGAAAATAAAAAAAGGACTTTACTGACGAGCAAATTAATTATTGACTTAGAAAATAAAGAAAGGACTTTACTGACGAGCAAATTATAAAAAAACCTAGAAAATAGGAAAAGGTCTCTACTGACGAGCATTTAAATTAGCAATTTAAAAAATAAAGAAAGGACTTTACTGACGAGCAAATTAAATATCTATTAGATGATAAAAAAAGACTCTACTGACGAGCAAACTAAATATCAACTTAGAAAATAAAAAAGGACCTGCCTAAAAAATTGAAGCCATACTTTTATATTTGTTTTATTTATCAAGCCCTACACACAGTCAATCAATTGAAATATGTTTGTGAGGCTTGTTTGTTTTGACTATTTCGCTGGCAACTGTAATATGTCTTTTGTAAAAATATTATAATAGTTATAACCTCAAAGGTATATAGTAACCTCGAAAAACTCGAATAATAAAAATTATTTCAATAAACTTACATTTATTATGCAGCGCAGATTTTTCATATGTTTCATTATTTGCACTACAATTATTTATGGGGGACGGGATAAAATATTCCTACGATCCTGACATTTTTATTAACTCACAATTTATACTACTACATATTTAATCTTCAAAAGTTTTGACATGACACAGGAAATTTGAACAATATGCTTCATGCTTTCGGTGACGTACGCACGTATAAAGTCCCGTATAGAAATTATATCATCGAGAGCGAATGACTCTCACTTCACGTTGGCGTAACAATTTCCGTTGCATTTGTACGGATTTACACCCATGTCGCGCCTAAAGAACTTTTACTTAAAAAATAAAATACAATTTTGGGTTCCATTATTATTTATCCCTGTATCAATTATTACCGTGGCTGTAATGGCCTCTCAAATCAGCAGCGATCAAAAGAGCGGCTTGTTGGTCGGCGTTTTTATCGCAAGCCTTAGCCTTTATAAGGCACTCCTTGATGAACCTTTTAGAATCGTCCTTGCAGCACCTCAAATCCTCATGATTGACCTTACAACCGTCCTTAGATTTTTTATTGTCGCTTTTTTTGCAGGTGCTATAGAGACGTCTGCTCGCTTTCAGGATGTTTTTGTTCCGGAGCAAACGGGACGATTCGTTGAATTTCATTTTAACTGAAAATAATAATATAAATAAATAAGAAAATAATGAAAATAATAAATGTCAAAAATGTCAAAAGTTTAATTTTATTTAAATAAAAAATATGTGGCTTTTGTTCCTCCTCGGGAAGCTTGCTGGGTGGAAATAGTTGATCGAACTTTGTAATCATATTGGTATAACCTTAACACAATTAGTGCAGTAAACGGAGAGGAAAAAAGGGTATAACCTCTGAATTTTTTACTGTGCTCCGAATTGAATGAAATTTTGGAATTATGTTCATCTTACCCTCAAGTTCAAAAGTGAAAACAATTCGGGTTGCGCCATCACCCCCCGGGGGGATGACACCCCCTCTCAATTGT